TTGCAAATTTTTGAAATAGAAGAAGTTTTAATTAAGTCAAAACCACCACTTGATTACTTCATATTGAAACGAGAAAGAAGAAAACTACTCAGAACACATGGTATAACAAAACAAAACATATTTATAAAACTCAAATCTAAAGTACAATACTTAACTGAAATGTTACCCCAAGCACTCCTTTGAATTTTCCTGACCTCTCTGACTCCAATAAACTCTCACAAAACTCACAAAACTCCGGAAATAAAAAAGACTCACAAAACCTTACTAAAAGTGGCCGACCACTCTATATGGGTGCCTCCCCTTCTCAAAACGATTTTAGAACTCTCCCTAGACGCGTAGAATTAATCTATATATATATAGCTTCGAAAATCACAAAGGGTTGCTTCAAACATCTCTACAAAATTCGGTCTCATTCAATGGATCTTCTAGAAACCGACTCTGGCGCCTAAGCGCCAGAACTATCGCGCCTAGGCATCAAAAATATCGCTCCTATACATTGGCCGCGATGTTCATTTGGGGCCTAGGCCCCAATTCGGTTGATTTTGACAATTTTTCTTGGTTTTGTCCATTTTGCTCTTTGTTGATGTATTTTTGCTCATTTTCGCTCTTAAACCATTTTTCTTGCACCTGTAACATAAAACAGACAAAATACATTTCATTAAAGCATAATATCCTCAAAAATGGGTATAAAATGTGCGTAAAAAATAGATAATTTTAAAGTGGATCACTCACTTCACTCTGTAATGCATGAATGTCGTGGTTTATGTAACTGAGCGTATAGGAGCCCACAATATGGCGTAGAGGTGCTGCAAACCTCATAGCGGGCACGTCCATTTAGGCATGGGGGCGCCGCCGTCCAGGCGAAGGTGCGTCACGCTAAAAACCTCACCTGCTCCTTCCTCGCGGCTGTGGGTGCTTCCAAGACTCCATAGCTCCAACAATTAAATATGTAAACATATAAGAATTGAGTGGTATGTATGTAAATCTTTCAAAAAAAAAATTGTTATTTGCCTTTTTTTTTTAGATAGAAGTCATTAATATCGTCAATTACTAGTAGCAAAACCCTGAATACAATCCCAAACTTCAGCTTCCAAGCTTAGCTGCTCGCTGCTCCTAATGTGGTTCCAATCATAACAGCATATTGTACCACCAATACCATAAAAGATATGAAATATTGTAATCGGAGCTATAACAAAAGAAATGGTCGCAGTTTGCGCTTATTAATGCTCCATATGTGTGCTTCTTCAGCTGCTAATTCAGTTGATGCTCCTTATTAAGTTGCAATTAGTTGAGAAATTTTAGTCTTCAGTAAGCTGCAGAAAGTAGATCTATTACAATTGATATAATATTCTGCTGCAGCTATAAACTCAGAAATTATTCAAAGATGGCAATTTATCTGTTGAAAAAGAACTCACCTCTTCAATTTGTTCTGTAACATCCTTCATAAAAGGTCTGTTTGGGGCAGCTGCAGCTTATTGAATAATCTGCTGATAAGCTGATTAAAAATAAACTGTTGATAAACTAGCTGCGGTGACTATTATAAATTTTTATTTTTTTTGAAAAGTCAGACCGCTTTCAGAAAGCTGCCAGGTGCGGTGTGAAAACGCTGTTTTCAGCATTTTCAAAACGCATAAGCTGCAAAAAAGCAATTTATCCAAACAGGTCAAGTGCGTTTTCAAAACGCCACCGCACCAAATAAGTTGCCCCAAACTGTTAGAAAATTCGCAGTCTTCCACTTCTGTGTTGTCTGCGAGGAAGACGAAAGAGGAACCACTCATCATGAAGCGGGAAGGCGTAAGTTCTCTTATGTTGAACGCAAGATTTATGCACATATCACATAATTCTTGTGTATTTGCTTATTTAACACCTATACTTTCATATATAATTTCATTTTTAACCTATTAAAGATTTGAGTTTCTTAAAATGTAAATACGTAATTTTAGGCATTAGATTCATAAATACATAAGATTATGAGGTATGTATGTAAATGCTCATAAAGAAAATTTAGAATACTGATTTCTTATGAATAGCAAACAAGAAGTAGAATGTAAGTTAATGAGAGAGAGAGAGAGAGAGAGAGAGAGACTACACGAACAATAATGTGTCATGTTTTATTCTTAAAATAATTCCCCTATTTATAGAGAAAGGGGTCAGGGTGCGGTTCGAGCTCATCTCATTAACGAGTTCACGAGCCGAGCTTATTAAGTCACGAGCTTGAGCTCATTTATTAAATAAGCTTGAGCTCGAGCTCGTCCCAGCTCGGCTCGTTAGCTGGCGAGCCAGCTTGATTAGGCTATCACAAGTCATTTCGATGTATTTTCTAGTGAACATTTGCTTCCTCCTCCAGCTCCACCAACCACAAATACCTTATCCCATGAGCTCCCATAAAAAAATTAAATTGTTAGTTCGAGCTCGCAAGCTGGTTGATGTCAGTAAGAGTCAAGCTCATTCTTGAGCTCAAGCTCAAAATTTGCTAGACAAATCGAGCTCCGGCTAGGCATGGCTAAAGCTCAATCAACCCTTTTGTACCCCTAGAAGAGGGTACAATAAAGTACTATATTTTTACCCTTATTTTAAAGAGATCCGTGCTAGCTATTTCTGGTTTTTTACATGTGTAAGCTTGTGATCTGGTTACCTTCTAGCTTGGATGACTAAGCATAGTTGGCTTTGGTTGGTAGGGTTAGCATGGTTGGTTGAATTTGGTCAGTATTCAAGGCTAGGTCGATCTTCCCTCTAAGTCGATTATCTTGGTAGGGTTGGTTGTCTAGGTTGGGTTGGTCGTCCAGGCCGAGGCAGTCATCCAGGCTAGGTCAGTCGTCCAAGCGGGGTTAGTCATCCAGGTTGGGTCAGTTGTCCATCTTATAGATTCAGTCAAACAAATTATTATTATAGTTATTTTAGCTCCTCGATTCATTTATCTCTTTGAAAGACGATTGCAAAAAGAATAAGAGAATTATAAAAATGGAACTAACATTACTCGTTTTTTCAAATACAAGTCAAAAAATTGTTCAAGTGAAAACGAAAGGTGATTTTGAAAGCTGTTTTAAACCAGATTGAATAAATGGGGATGAAAAGATGATGGTTTTAGATGTTATCATCTAACCCAAGACTTACACCACCCATATCTCAATCGCTTGATTAGTTTGTCACATTGGACGGATTGCACCTTAAGCCAAACGTATTAAACAAATCTTATTTTAGTTTTTATGGAGGCAACCGTTCAGACTCGCTGCTAGAATGATTTATACGCTATCCATCGTGCATCATGTCGCTAATGGCCATGGAATCATACCGTTAGAGCTTAACCCATTCCAAGTATAAGACATGGATTTTAATGATGCATGAACAATGCACTTTCGACAATCGAGGAGAGCCAAAAAGTGTCGACTACTTAACTTTTACTTATTTGGAGGGCAAGTTCTACAAGTGTTTGTGGCAAAATCTTTGTATGCATATTAACGAAAACTTAATAAGAAATTAATGAGGGTTATCAGAGATTTTTCATATAGTGTCAACGATAGGCTTTTTTTAGGGAGCTGTGTTTTTAATGACATGCAGGATGATATGTGGAGTTGGTCAAGCAAATGTAGCTGAGTAGATGTGGTTGAATGTGGGAGGGTTGAGTGTCGACATAGTCAACTCACTCGGTTGAATTGGGTTGGTCATTCAAGCTGGGTCGGTTGTCCCTTTTAGTTGGTCATCTAAGCTAGGCCATTATGCTTGGTCGGTCATCCATACATCTTGATTGTACTTACTAGATTGTCCAGGATGGGTTAGTTGTCCGAGTTGGGACGACCGTTCAGGTCGGGTTGATCATCCATATTAAGTCGGTTGTCTAGATCAGTTTAACCAAGCTAGGTTGATTAGAAACTAACCTAGGTGTACTGAAGTTGAACCGGTCAAACTTAATCCTCATTTCTTCTCCTTATGCTGCTCTTCTTCTTGTTTATGGCATGGTTCACGCTCACCACATTTTTAGGATGTTAAATTCTGATTTATCCATGAGTTGGCCCTAAGGATAACGAGAGAGTGAGTGAGTGAGTGACATAATGAATAGTAATGTGCTATGTCTTATTGATAAAATAAATTTTCTATTTATAGAGAAGAGGAGTACAATAATGATATTAGAATTTCATCCTTATTTAAAAGGGGTATGTACTAGGTTATTATGGTTTTACATCTATAAGTTTGTTGTTTGGTTACCTCTGGCTTGACTGGCTAAGCTTAGTTAACTTTAGGTCGGTAGACTTGACTCGATTGGTTGAACCGCATTAGTCATCATGGTCGGGTTGGTCATCTCTCTGGGTCAGTTTTTCGGGCTAGGTCGATCATCAAGGCACGGTGGGTCTTCCCTCTGGGTCAGTTGCCGAGGTAGGCTTGGTCGTCCAAGTTGGGTTGGCTATCCAGGCAGGGTCGGTCTGTCTTCTAAGAAATTCAATCTGACACATTTTTTTTATACGAAAACGAACAAAATTCATCAACCTAATATTTTTATTAACAATATTATATAAATAAGAATGAGTATATATAAGATTATAAAAAATATATGATATATTAAGGAGAAAAAATAATTTTTTGAATTTCATTTACGTAAGCCAATAACTCATAAGTATTCAGAGAATACTACTTTTACTTTATTCTTCATGAACATACAAAAATCCTAGTAATTTGAAGTGTTGCACACTAGTTATAACCAAGGAGCCTCACTCTAATTGTTGAGTTATAAGGCTTATTTTCATCTAAAAAATTAGAGGTCCATTGGGAGAAAGCAAATGAAAAATAACACGTTAAATTAATTTAATTTACATATAGTAATTATTAATTAGAGAAAAAAATATTAAATTGCTAACAATATTTATATGTAATTAAAAATATATATAATTTAAAATGAACAATTCTATTTAAAAAAATTTATTACTCTTTTTGTGAGAAGTTAAATAGTCAAGTCCGATTAACAAGCATGACAGCTGACAGCTAATTTTTTTGTGAGTATTCTCTTCCATCTACTTCTCTGTCTCTGTTTCAAACTCCCCTTATCCCCCTTTTTATAATCCATCTCCTCAGTCTTTATTCTTACTCTTAATGTTCTTCCAGCGCTTTCCTCCGGGGACTCCGGGTTGAGCTCCGGCGACTCTTTTGCTCGGTAAGTCTTTATCCTTCGTCTCAATCCAACACTAATTTTTCCTATATTTCTGAGCCACGGGTTACTCTGCATTCCTCCTTCAAGAATTTTGCTCGATTCTTGATCCCATCATGGAGAAAACAATTTGTCGAACACAATGTAAACATAGGGCAAGCACTTTTCCTTTTTCTTTGTTTCCCGCCGAACACAGCAGCTCATCTTCGCCGGTGGATCTCGCCGGATTTCCATTTTGACTCCTCCAAACTACATTAATGGCAAGTTAGATCAAATACTTCCTCGCGGAGTAAGATTTGCGAGGGGATTTCCGCAATAATTTTGCAATTAATTTGTTCATCGAATCGCTCAAATCTCATTTGTTTACCATGGTAACTGTTTTCGATGTAAGCTTTGGGATTCGCGCTACCTTTCCTTCTAAGCTCCACCGAGCTGCGATATTCTTTACACAGTACGGGCTTAGCGCCCGGCTCGCCATAACTTGCGTCAGCGTCAATAAATGATTCGTCCTTTTTGGCTGATGTGTTTTTGTCTTTGCTTTATGGTTTTCTTCAACCGCGCAGAACCACAGGACGATAAAGCCATCTGCTACAGCTTCTCTGCGGATGCAATGTCGTGTCGTGTTCGGCCCGCCTGGCTCCAATCCGCTCTCACAGGTCTCTGCTCCTTTTCTGTCTTCCCAGTTTTTTATTACTTTTTTCAACTTTAGCAGGGCGTCTCCGGAAAGAATTTGCAATTGGGAAAACAGAATTTTATTCGCAATTAGGGTTTGCGCTATATTTAGTATTTTGTATGCTAAAATGGATTGGCCCTCGAAAGAAGTTTTTTCTTGTTATTTCCGGTTTCTTCTTCGAACGCATAACCATCTGCTTGTGACTGAGACTAGTTTGCTTTTCATTGAGTACCACTGCTGAATCGACTGGTCACGGGCCGCTGTTTTGCTGTTATTTATTTATTTATTTAATTTTGTCTTGCGAATGAACATATATTTAGAAGATTTTGGAGAAATTTTAAGAGCAACGGTATAGAAAAGGCAGTACACCACTTGCATTTAATTGGAACTATCTGAAATTCTAAATTCATCGTTTTTAATGAAACTGCCCCTTATCAACTTTTTATTTTTGTGGGTTTGACAATTTTTTTATTCGGCTGTAAAATGTTCAGATTTTGGATTGTGTAAATTTTATGATCTGACACGCAAATTTAAAAAAGAAAGAGAGAGAAACGATGGGATTCGAAATTTGAAATTTGAATGGTGTGCGGACTTTAGTGGAATGGTTATATTTTAAGTGCACCGCTTCACTGCTTTTGTACTGTACTGATAAAAAACAGGGGAAGAACAGTTTCCTGTATTTTACCTAGGAGAGATTATCAATCGATGGCGGTAAGAAATTTCTACTTTTTACTTTTTTTTAAATATTATTTTATTTTTAAAATACATAAGAATTGCGTGGCATGTATGTAATTTTCTTAAAAATAAATGCTTTAAAAAAAAATAAAGGAGGATGAAATAAAAATGATCTCAAAGGTTCGGAAGAACCAAATCTTTGTGGAGCGAATGTTCTTCCAAAGATTGCTAGATACTGGATCTTCTCTTGATGATCCGACTCCAGTTTATGCAGTATGTTGTGTTAATCTAGTTGTCTTTAGAAATTGTTTATGTATTTTTGCACATTTTTCATATGGATTAGGAGGTTTTGAAAACCGTTTTGTGGTTAGGTGGTTAGGAAAACCGTTAAGTGGTTAGTTAGTTTTATTTTCAGAAAAATGTGTTGTATTTGCTTATAAATTAAACTAGAAAATGTACAGGGTGTGAAGTACTAAAAAATTCTTTCATTTTTGTTGGCGTTTAAAGTTTGGCTTTGATAACCAACATTTGGTATCAGAGCGAAAATCGGTTTGCATACCCTAATCTCATAAACTTAAATTTCATCTTATGAACTCCTGTTCAGCACGTGCTATAGTCCCCATGATTTCTTCTTCGGTAAACTCTTGTTGTTGCCTTCTTCAATAAGCTCCTCTTCATTATCATATGCTGTTAGACCCAGCTATGCCTTCACTTGCAAACAATGCCATGTGCGGCCCCGTCAAGTTGATGCCTTCTAAGAGAACTTCAATTCAATTACTGAATGTTCCAATCCCATTGATGCCTTCTCCAACAAGCTTAATTTTGGCTCGTGTTCATGAGTAGAGCTTGATCCCACTATTCGTTCGGCGAGCCACGCTCCAGCTAACCATATGAGCTCGACTTGATTTACAAAGTTACACATGGAGGATTCAGAGACAATAAACGAATTTTCCATGAAGCTTACCACGCTGGTGGGTGAGATCCGCTCACTGGGCACGAAGTTCGACGACAGCGAAGTTGTTGAAAAAACTGTTTAGTGCAGTTCCAAATAGATTTCTCCAAATTATTGGAACAATTGAGCAATTTGGTGATACTGAGAAGATATCGGTATCGGAGGCGATAAGTCGTCTCAGAACCTTCGAGGAAGGGCTTAAAGGGCGACTGCACTCAAAGGGTAGTGGAGAACAGTTACTCTTTACCCAGGCCGAGTGGGAGGCAAGAATCTCAAAGGCAAAGAAAGATGAATGTTCTAACAACAACAAAAAAGGAGGACGTTACGGGAGAGGACGTGGATATGGTGGAGGTCGAGGTGAAGACCGAAAGCCACGAAAGCCACGTAAATCCAAGGTTAAGTGTTTCAATTGTAATGAATATGGTCATTTTGCAAAAGAGTGTTATGGAGTGTTTCAATTGTAATGAATATGGTCATTTTGCAAAAGAGTGTCCCAAACCAAACCGAAGAGAAAAAGCAAACCTTGTGAAGATGAACCAGCACGATGAACCAGCACTGTTGATGATAGAAACTTGTGTTCTCAGCCACGCAATACAGAACGAGCAGGTGTTATTGCATGAAGAGAAGGTGGTGTCAAAGTTTAAAAACACACGAGAGAAGACTTGGTATTTAGATACTGGTGCAAGTAATCACATGACCGGTTGTACCGAAAAATTTGCTGAAATTGACACGACAATTAAAGGGTCGGTCAAATTTGGGGATGGCTCGATTGTAGAAATCCAAGGAAGAGGTTTGGTTTTGTTTAAAGGCTTCGCAGATACTTACTAATGTCTACTACATCCCGATGTTGAAGAGCAACATAATAAGTCTTGGCCAGTTAGATGAGAACGGATGCAAAGTTGAGGTTGAAGGAGGTGTTATGATTATTTTAGACAGATCACAAAAGTTACTAGCAAAAGTGAACAGGTCACGCAACCGATTATATATGTTTAACATAGCACCAGCTCTCTCTGAATGCCTTCTGGCTAGGAGCAAAGAAGAAGCATGGCGATGACATGCAAGATATGGGCATGTTAATTTTCATGCTTTGAAGTTTCTAAGTCAGAAAAAGATGGTGCACGGCTTGCCCAAAATCGAGCATGAGGACCGCATCTGTGATGGTTGTTTGATTGGAAAGCAACACCGAAATCTTTTTCTAGCA